ACACACAAGTACACACACAGACATCGACTTACACACCAGACATCGACTTACACACACACAAGTACACACACAGACATCGACTTACACACACACACAGACATCGACTTACACACACACAAGTACACACACAGACATCGACTTACACACACCAGTACACACCAGACATCGACTTACACACACAGACATCGACTTACACACACACACAAGTACACACACAGACATCGACTTACACACACACACAAGTACCACAGACATCGACTTACACACACACACAAGTACCACACACAGACATCGACTTACACACACAGACATCGACTTACACACACACAAGTACACACACAGACATCGACTTACCACACACAGACATCGACTTACACACACAAGTACACACACAGACATCGACTTACACACACACAGACATCGACTTACACACACACAAGTACACACACAGACATCGACTTACACACACACACAAGTACCACACACAGACATCGACTTACACACACACAGACATCGACTTACACACACACAAGTACACACACAGACATCGACTTACACACACACAAGTACACACACACACAGACATCGACTTACACACACACAGACATCGACTTACACACACACAAGTACACCACAGACATCGACTTACACACACACACAAGTACACACACCGACATCCGACTTACACACACACAGCAAGTACCACACATACATCGACTACACAACATCAACGTACACACACACAGACATCCGTACACACACAGACAGCGACTACAACACATCACAAGTACACACACAGCATCGACTTACACACACACAGACCATCGACTTACCACCACACACAAGTACCACACACCGACATCGACTTCACACACACACAGACCATCGACTTACACCCACACAAGTACACACACAGACATCGACTTACACACACCACAGACATATCGACTTACACACACACACAAGTTATCACACACAGACATCGACTTACACACACACACCAGTACACACACACACAGACATCACTTACACACACACACAGACATCGACTTCCACACAAGACAAGTACACACACAGACATCGACTTACACACACACAAGTACACACACACAGACATCGACTTACACACACACAGACATCGACTTACACACACACAAGTACACACACAGACATCGACTTACACACACACACAGACATCGACTTACACCACACACACAAGTACACACACAGACATCGACTTACACACACACAGACATCGACTTACACACACACACAAGTACACACAGACATCGACTTACACACACACACAAGTACACACACACAGACATCGACTTACACACACACAGACATCGACTTACACACACACAAGTACACACACAGACATCGACTTACACACACACACAGACATCGACTTACACACACACAAGTACACACACAGACATCGACTTACAACACACAGACATCGACTTACACACACACACAAGTACACACACAGACATCGACTTACACACACACACAAAGTACACACACACAGACATCGACTTACACACACACAGACATCGACTTACACACACACAATTACACACACAGACATCGACTTACACACACACACAAGTACACACACACAGACATCGACTTACACACACACAGACATCGACTTACACCAAACAAGTACACACACAGACATCGACTTACACACACACACAGACATCGACTTACACACACACAAGTACACACAGACATCGACTTACACACACACAAGTACACACACAGACATCGACTTACACACACACAAGTACACACCACAGACAGCGAACTTACACACACACAGACATCGACTTACACACACACACAAGTACACACACAGACATCGACTTACACACACACACAAGTACACACACACAGACATCGACTTACACACACACAGACTCGACTTACACACACACAAGTACACACACAGACATCGACTTACACACACACACAGACATCGACTTACACACACAAAAGTACACACACAGACATCGACTTACACACCACACCGACATCGACTTACACCACACAGTACACACACAGACATCGACTTACACACACACAGACATCGACTTACACACACACACAAGTACACACACAGACATCGACTTACACACACACACAAGTACAACACACACAGACATTCGACTTACACACACAGACATCGACTTACACACACACAAGTACACACAACAGACATCGACTTACACACACACACAAATGACTACACACCAAGACACACGACATCGACTACACACACACAGACATCGACTTACACACACACAAGTACACACACAGACATCGACTTACACACACACACAGACATCGACTTACACACACACAAGTACACACACAGACATCGACTTACACACACACAAGTACACACACAGACATCGACTTACACACAGACATCGACTTACACACACACACAAGTACACACACAGACATCGACTTACACACACACACAAGTACACACACACAGACATCGACTTACACACACACAGACATCGACTTACACACACACAAGTACACACACAGACATCGACTTACACACACACACAGACATCGACTTACACACACACAAGTACACACACAGACATCGACTTAACACACACACAGACATCGACTTACACACACACACAAGTACACACACAGACATCGACTTACACACACACACAAGTACACACACACAGACATCGACTTACACACACACAGACATCGACTTACACACACACAAGTACACACACAGACATCGACTTACACACAACACAAGTACACACACACAGACATCGACTTACACACACACAGACATCGACTTACACACACACGAGTACACACACAGACATCGACTTACACACACACACAGACATCGACTCACACACACACAAGTACACACACAGACATCGACTTACACACACACAAGTACACACACAGACATCGACTTACACACACACAGACATCGACTTACACACACACACAAGTACACACACAGACATCGACTTACACACACACACAAGTACACACACACAGACATCGACTTACACACACACAGACATCGACTTACACACACACAAGTACACACACAGACATCGACTTACACACACACACAGACATCGACTTACACACACACAAGTACACACACAGACATCGACTTACACACACACACAGACATCGACTTACACACACACAAGTACACACACAGACATCGACTTACACACACACAGACATCGACTTACACACACACACAAGTACACACACAGACATCGACTTACACACACACACAAGTACACACACACAGACATCGACTTACACACACACAGACATCGACTTACACACACACAAGTACACACACAGACATCGACTTACACACACACACAAGTACACACACACAGACATCGACTTACACACACACAGACATCGACTTACACACACACAAGTACACACACAGACATCGACTTACACACACACACAGACATCGACTTACACACACACAAGTACACACACAGACATCGACTTACACACACACAAGTACACACACAGACATCGACTTACACACACACAGACATCGACTTACACACACACACAAGTACACACACAGACATCGACTTACACACACACACAAGTACACACACACAGACATCGACTTACACACACACAGACATCGACTTACACACACACAAGTACACACACAGACATCGACTTACACACACACACAGACATCGACTTACACACACACAAGTACACACACAGACATCGACTTACACACACACAAGTACACACACAGACATCGACTTACACACACACAGACATCGACTTACACACACACACAAGTACACACACAGACATCGACTTACACACACACGCAAGTACACACACACAGACATCGACTTACACACACACACAAGTACACACACACACGGAGTGACACACACACACGATAGTCTATTTCCATGTGATCCCAACGGAAATCGATTCCATTAGCTTAATCAACTATACATCGATTCCCATGTTATCCCAATAGAAATCGACTCTATAAATCCACTACGCCGCAATAATCGATTCCTAATGTTATCCCATTAAGAATCGACGCAAGTGGAGTTAATCGAACCGAGAATCGAATTTTTCTGCACCACGTGACTTGAGAAACGGAAACACGTGGGTGCCAGGTGGGTGTCATGGCGGTGCGAGAACTCTTCTCGAGACTTGGCCTACTCTTCCTCTCCCTCCACCACCACCTCCACCTCGTCACGTGCACACACGGTGAGCACAGCCAGAGGTGGTCGATACATCGGGTACCAGGTTGTGGTGGACGTGGGGAGCGGTGGTGAAGTGGTAAGCGCACTGTGTGTGTGGGGAGCGGTGGTGCAGTGGTTAGCGCACTGTGTGTGTGGGGAGCGGTGGTGAAGTGGTTAGCGCACTGTGTGTGTGGGGAGCGGTGGTGCAGTGGTTAGCGCACTGTGTGTGTGTGGGTGGGGAGTGGTGGTGCAGTGGTTAGCGCACTGTGTGTGTGTGGAGTGGTGGTGCAGTGGTTAGCGCAGTGTGGGGAGTGGTGGTGCAGTGGTTAGCGCACTGTGTGTGTGGGGGGGGGGAGCGGTGGTGCAGTGGTTAGCGCACTGTGTGTGTGTGGGTGGGGAGTGGTGGTGCAGTGGTTAGCGCACTGTGTGTGTGGGGAGTGGTGGTGCAGTGGTTAGCGCAGTGTGGGGAGTGGTGGTGCAGTGGTTAGCGCACTGTGTGTGTGTGGGGGGGGAGCGGTGGTGCAGTGGTTAGCGCACTGTGTGTGTGTGTGGGGGGAGCGGTGGTGCAGTGGTTAGCGCACTGTGTGTGTGTGGGTGGGGAGTGGTGGTGCAGTGGTTAGCGCACTGTGTGTGTGGGGAGTGGTGGTGCAGTGGTTAGCGCAGTGTGGGGAGCGGTGGTGCAGTGGTTAGCGCACTGTGTGTGTGTGTGGGGGGAGCGGTGGTGCAGTGGTTAGCGCACTGTGTGTGTGTGGGGAGCGGTGGTGCAGTGGTTAGCGCAGTGTGGGGAGCGGTGGTGCAGTGGTTAGCGCACTGTGTGTGGGGAGCGGTGGTGCAGTGGTTAGCGCACACTGCCCATCTCCCCAGCTGCGACTCCCCCTCTGAATGTCCGCGTGGAGTCTCGCGACCTGCTGACGCAACTCCGCTGGGACCACGACGCTCAAGTGGACGTCGCCACCAGCAGCAGCTCAAAGCTCCTGGACGTTGCCTACAGGGTGGACAGCAAACTGTGAGATGCTCGCTCACTCGCTCGCCCACCCACTCACTCACTCGCTCACTCACCCATCCACTTGCTCAACCACTCTCTCACTCACCCACTCACCCATCCACTCTCTCACTCACTCACTCACCCACACACTCACCCACCCACTTACTCACCCACCCACTCTCTCACTCACCCACTCACTCACCCACCCACTCACCCACCCACTTACTCACCCACCCACTCTCTCACCCACTCACTCACCCACCCACTCACCCACCCACTTACTCACCCACCCATTCTCTCACCCACCCACTCTCTCACCCACCCACTCACTCACCCATCCACTCACCCACCCACTCTCTCACTCACCCACTCACTCACCCATCCACTCACCCACCCACTCACCCACCCACTCACCCACCCACTTAATCACCCACCCACTCTTTCACTCACCCAATCACTCACCCACTCACCCACCCACTCACTCACCCACTCACTCACCCACTCTCTCACTCTCTCTCTCACTCACTCACCCACTCACTCAACCACTTTCTCATTCACCCACTCACCCGCTTGCCCACCCACCCACCCACCCACTCTCTCACTCACCCACCCACTCACACACCCACTCCTCACCTCCTCCTCCCCGTGTCTCTGTCTGTGCAGCTATGGACGAGCCCGCTGGCGGACCGTCTGCGCTGCCACCGCAGAGACACGGTGCGATGTCTCCTCAGCGCTGCGACATCCCGGCGACCGCTATCAACTTCGCGTCAGATCCACCGTCTCATCACCACCACCAACACCACCATCACCACCATCACCACCATCATCACCACCACCATCACCACCATCATCGTCACCCTGGGTCGTGGTTGATGTGTTACCCTTGAAGACAAGTGAGTGGCATTGTCTATGTCTCTGTGTGTGTCTCTGTGTCTGTGTGTGAGTGTCTCACTCTCTGTGTCTCTGTGTGAGTTTCTCTGTGTGAGTGTCTCTGTGTGTGAGTGTCTCTGTGTGTGAGTGTCTCTGTGTATGTCTCTGTGTCTGTGTGTGAGTGTCTCACTCTCTGTGTCTCTGTGTGAGTTTCTCTGTGTGAGTGTCTCTGTGTGTGAGTGTCTCTGTGTGTGAGTGTCTCTGTGTGTGTCTCTGTGTCTGTGTGTGAGTGTCTCACTCTCTGTGTCTCTGTGTGAGTTTATCTGTGTGAGTGTCTCTGTGTGTGAGTGTCTCTGTGTGTGAGTGTCTCTGTGTGTGTCTCTGTGTCTGTGTGTGAGTGTCTCACTCTCTGTGTCTCTGTGTGAGTTTCTCTGTGTGAGTGTCTCTGTGTGTGAGTGTCTCTGTGTGCGTGTGTGTCTCTGTGTGTGTGTCTGTGTGTGTGTCTCTGTGTGTGTGTGTCTGTGTATGAGTGTCTCTGTGTGTCTCTGTCTGTGTGTGTCTCTGTGTGTGTCTCTGTGTGTGTGTCTCTGTGTGTGAGTGTCTCTTTGTGTGAGTGTCTCTGTGTGTGTCTGTGAGTGTGTCTCTCTGTGTGTGAGTGTCTCTTTGTGTGTGTGTCTGTGTGTGAGTGTCTCTTTGTGTGTGTGTCTGTGTGTGTGTCTCTGTGTGTGAGTGTCTCTTTGTGTGAGTGTCTTTGTGTCTGTGTGTGTGTGTCTGTGTGAGTGTGTCTCTCTGTGTGTGAGTGTCTCTTTGTGTGAGTGTCTCTGTGTGTGTGTCCCTGTGTGTGTCTGTGTGTGTGTCTCTGTGTGTGTGTATGTGTGTGTGTGTCTGTGTGAGTGTCTCTGTGTGTGTCTCTGTGTGTCTCTGTGTGTGAGTGTCTGTGTGTGTGTGTGTCTGTGTGTGTGTCTCTGTGTGTGTGTGTCTGTGTGTGAGTGTCTCTGTGTGTGTGTGTGTCTGTGTGTGAGTGTCTCTGTGTGTGTGTGTGTCTGTGTGTGTGTCTGTGTCTGTGTGTGTGTCTGTGTGTGTGTCTGTGTGTGTGTCTGTGTGTGTCTGTGTGTGTCTCAGCCGTGCTGAGTGCTCCGACTGTCACCTTGATGCTCCACAAGGATGCGACGCTGGAGGAGGGTGGTGAGGAGGGTGGTGAGGAGGGTGGTGACGAGGGTGGTGACGAGGAGGAGGAGTGTGGTAGTGAGCGTGAGGACTACAAACATGACGACAAAGATGGCTACGAGAATGACGACGACGATGACGATGAGGGTGATGGCGGCGATGACGGTGATGGCGGTGGCGACGAGGGAGAGCGGTGGGAGCTGTCCGTGCGGGTCTCCATGAGGAGCGAGTGGAGGAGGAGGATGGCGCAGAGTGACGTGCTGTACCATCTACAAGCCGAGGTCTCCACAAGGAGGGGTGTGACTAGCACGGTGAGAGTGGGTGGGTGGGTGGGTGTGTGGGTGAGTGGGTGGGTGAGTGGGTGTGTGGGTGGGTGAGTGGGTGGGTGGGTGGGTGAGTGGGTGGGTGGGTGGGTGAGTGGGTGGGTGAGTGGGTGGGTGAGTGGGTGTGTGGGTGGGTGAGTGGGTGTGTGGGTGGGTGGGTGTGTGGGTGGGTGGGTGGGTGGGTGAGTGGGTGGGTGGGTGAGTGGGTGGGTGGGTGAGTGGGTGGGTGAGTGGGTGTGTGGGTGAGTGGGTGTGTGGGTGTGTGGGTGGGTGAGGTGTGGTGTGGTGTGTGTGTGTGAGTGGGTGGGTGAGTGGGTGGGTGGGTGGGTGGGTGGGTGAGTGGGTGGGTGGGTGGGTGAGTGGGTGGGTGAGTGGGTGGGTGAGTGGGTTAGGGGGTGAGTGGATGAGTGGGTGGGTGAGTGGGTGGGTGTGTGGGTGGGTGGGTGGGTGAGTGGGTGGGTGGATGAGTGGGTGGGTTGGTGAGTGGGTGGGTGAGTGAGTGGGTGAGTGGGTGAGTGGGTGGATGAGTGAGTGAGTGGGTGGGTGGGTGGGTGAGTGGGTGAGTGGGTGGGTTGGTGAGTGGGTGGGTGGGTGGGTTGGTGAGTGGGTGGGTGGGTGGGTGAGTGGGTGGGCGGGTGGGTGGGAGAGTGAGTGGGTGAGTGGGTGGGTGGTGATGCTAATTCTACTGATGACGATGCTATTGCTGCTGCTGCTACTGAATGTCCAGAAATGGTTGAGTTCTGTCAGCTTCCACTTCCATGCTGAACTGGATGGATGGGTTTTGCGAGTTGAGATGATTTAGAAACGCGCTCAGTCTATCTTTGCCGTGTGGCCAGACCACCAACGTGTCATCCACGTAACCCGGCACACTGAGACCATCTGCTTGCTCCTGCCAGGAGCGCTTTGTGGGATGTCGCTACCGCCACGCGCTGCCTCAGCCTGCAGGCGCTGCTGAGTACTGCGTCCGCGTGAGAGTCGCGGCTCGCTACCCGCGGTGGAAGACAGGGGAGTGGTCTCCACTGTCGTGTGTCTCCGTCCCTCCACCACACAGCGCCGTGGGTGAGTGGGTGGGTGGGTGAGTGGGTGGGTGGGTGAGTGGGTGAGTGAGTGGGATGGTGAGTGAGTGGGTGGGTGGGTGAGTGAGTGGGTGGTGAGTTAGTTGGTGGGTGAGAGAGTGGGTGAATGAGTGGGTGAGTGAGTGAGTGGGTTGGTGGGTGAGTGAGTTGGTGGGTGGGTGAGTGAGTGAGTGGGTGGGTGAGTGGGTGGGTGAGTAGGTGGGTGGGTGGGTGGGTGAGTGAGTGAGTGAGTGAGTGGGTGGGTGAGTGGGTGAGTGGGTGGGTGGGTGAGTGAGTGAGTGAGTGGGTGAGTGAGTGGGTGGGTGAGCGAGTGATTTGGTAAGTAGTTGAGTGAGTGGGTGGGTTAGTGGGTGGGTGAGTAGTTGACTGAGTGGGTGGTTGAGTGAGTGGGTGCGTGAGTGAGTGGGTGGGTGAGTAGGTGGGTGGGTGAGTGAGTGGGTGGGTGAGTGGGTGGGTGAGTGGGTGGGTGAGCGAGTGATTTGGTAAGTAGTTGAGTGAGTGGGTGGTTTAGTGGGTGGGTGAGTAGTTGACTGAGTGGGTGGTTGAGTGAGTTGGTGCGTGAGTGATTGAGTGGGTGAGTGGGTGGGTGGGTGAGTGAGTGGGTGGGTGAGTGGGTGGGTGGGTGAGTGGGTGGGTGAGCGAGTGATTTGGTAAGTAGTTGAGTGATTGAGTGGGTGAGTGGGTGGGTGAGTGGCGCACCCATTTAGCCCTCTCTATCCGGCTGAACAAAAGCTGTTCAGACATGCGGTGGCTGGGCATGCAGGCTACATGGCCCAGCCAACGCAGCCTTGCCTGCCGGAGGAGCTCACCAATGGGACTTTGCCCAGATCTTTCTGGGATTTGTGAGCTCCTCACACAATCCAGCCTGCAGGTTAAACCCAGGATGGATCGTAGACAGGCCAGCCTAAATGTTTCTAACCGGCGAATATGTTCCATTAGGGGGGTCCACTTTTCGCATGCGTAGAGAAGGGAGGGAATGACCGTGGCCGAGAAGACCTGAAGATTCGTGCGGAGTGACAAACCAGGTAGCTTCCACACAGTATTATGTAACCGATGAAAAGGTAATGCCGCTCGACTGATTCGGAGTGAGACCTCAGCCAGTCATGAGCACACTGCCCAGGTATGGGAAACTCTCCACTCTCTCCACAACTCCTCAATCACCAATTGGGAGTTGTGGGGGTGGAGTGTCCAATGGTACAAAATACCCAGGCAGGTGCTTAGTTTTGGTGGGGCTGATGGTAAGGCCCCACCTCTTAGTGGCACGCTCTAGTCTCAGCAGCAGCGTCTCCAACTCCTCTTCTGAATGAGCAGCTATTACCAAATCATCAGCATACGCAACATGGTTGAGCGATAGGGAGCCATCCCTTGACCGCACCCGGGCATCGATCAGCCTCCCATTGTATCTGTAACAGATGGAAATTCCTCTGGTACAGCTATTGAAGGCTTCACGAACTATGTGGTTAAAATAAATGTTAAATAATGTGGGAGCCAGAGGACATCCCTGTCGCACCCCAAGGTGTACAGGGAAAGGCTCTGACTCCCGGCCACGTAGTTTTATCCGGGCCCGCTCACCATCATGAAGGTCCTTAATGATCGTGTGCAGAGGGTCAGGGACTCCGAAAGCACGAAAAACTGCCCAGAGCCCAGTCCTACTGATGGTATCATAGGCCTTGACCAGGTCAATAAAGCAGAGATGTAGGTCTTGTTGGAATTCCCTACACCTCTGCTGTAGCAGACGGACAGAAAATATGGCATCTGTGCAGGACCGCCCTTTCCTGAAACCGCATTGGGGCTCCGCAAGCCTCTCCTCAGCGTGCCTGGCAAGGCGGTGTTGAACAACAACACACAGACAGGTACACACAGACACACACACAGACACACACAGACAAATATCCCCCGTGTAGCCTTAACAGACTGTTGGGGCAAGTGCTGTTAGCGAGCACCTATGAAGGTCAGAACTTTACACGAGGGGGTGGGTGGCCAGCACCACGCCCGGCCGCCTTTGTCTCCCCAGTGGCGATGTTTATACGCCGCACCAGGTACTCATTTTGAGGCTGAGGCGACCTAGGGGAGGCCCGGGAACGGTTTAGATAATCGTCACCGGTGTTGGCCGTGAGCGGGAATCGAACCTGGGACGCTGGGTTCATAGCGCAGTGTAGCGCTAACCGCTGCACCACCGCTCCTCATCCAACAACACTGCTCAGCATCCCACTTTGTCTGTGTCTCTGTCTGTGTCTCTCTGTGTCTCTGCCTGTGTCTCTGTCTGTGTATCTGTCTCTCTGCCTGTATCTGTCTCACTGTGTCTCTGTCTGTGTCTCTCTGCCTGTATCTGTCTCACTGTGTCTCTGTCTGTTTCCCCCGTGACTCTGTCTCCCCATGTCTCCCCGTATCTTCTCGTGTGTCCCCAATCTCGTAGCCACCACCCCCGCCACCACCACCACCCCCACCACCACCCCCACCACCGCTGCCACCACCACCACCACCACCACCCCCACCACCGCTGCCACCACCACCACCCCCGCCACCACCACCGCCACCACCGCCACCACCACCCCCACCACCACCGCCACCACCACCACCACCCCCACCACCACCCCCATCCCCACCACCACCACCGCCACCACCACCGCCGCCACCACCACCACCACAACCCCCACCACCACCACCCCCACCACCCCCACCACCACCACCCCCACCACCACCGCCACCACCACCCCCACCACCACCACCCCCACCACCACCACCCCCACCACCACCACCACCCGCCGCCACCACCACCCCCACCACCACCCCCACCACCACCGCCACCACCGCCACCACCACCACCCCCACCACCACCACCACCACCCCCCACCACCGCCACCGCCACCACCACCCCCACCACCACCACCACCCCCACCACCACCACCCGCACCACCACCCGCACCGCCACCACCACCGCCCCATCCACCTCGCGTGGGGTGTCCACGGGGGACGTGGTGACGCTCTTTGCCAGCGGCCGTGTCGCCTCCATCAGCTCGCTGGTGGCCATGGCGACGCTGCTGGTGACGCTGCTGGTGCTGGTGCTGGCGCTGGTGTGCACCGTGCGGAACAGACGGAGCCCCGGCAATCGTCCCGGTGAGCGGCGGCGGCTACACAGATGTTGACTACCTCGCCTGGTGCGTAGGAAGTCGTGGGTTCGATCCAGACCCTGACGCCTGCTGCTGTATACTTGGAGTTTGCGTGTCTCTCTCTCATCATCATCTACTACACTATAATAGTTTCTCTCCCCACGCTGCGTGCGATCTTCTCGTTCCCCAGCGATGGAGCAGCCAGCGACCGCCCCGAGCCTGCTCCCTGACAGTCCCGGCAGCCACCACCATCACTGCGACCACCGCCATCACCACCACTACGACCACCACCATCACCACGGCGGTGGTGGAGGAGGAGCAGAGATGGCAACTCTAGAATCCTGCCCCCGGCCCTGGTTGGCATTGCCGGATGAAAGCCGCTCACCGAGTCGTCTCCGCACCAACCCGTTCACCTCCTGCAGGGTGACCGTGCGCTGGCCGCGAGACAGTGACCACCTCGCGTGGCACGCGCGACGTGCCGGGTTCCAGCTCGAGCCGTGACGACGACGCCCGCCGCTGTTGGCTCGGAGTTGGCGGCGTCCGTCTCTCCGCGTGGCGACGTCCGTTCCAGAGGAGAATGAATGATGTTTTACACGGCAAGTTATACATGTGTAGTGTTGTAAAGGACGGACTAATAAACCTCTTTATGGCACACACAGTTTATTGTCTTAATGACACAGTCCCTAACACACACAAGGGTTGTACGGTCCCCTCACCCGTTACCCTGAGGAGGTACAGCCTCCTGACCTGCACAGCTCACACTTCACTCCTAATCTACGGAGCTACAGCCTCCAGACTTGCCGTCTATCCAATCTCCCCGCCATCCCAGCGTCCTCCAGACTTGCCGTCTATCCAATCTCCCCGCTATCCCAGCGTCCTCCGGCTGGACCTAGGGGAGGCTCACCGACCCGGCGGGTCCCCGACCCTCTGGTCACTCGAGACCTTCGCCCTCACGAGGGCGGGAAGGCTGGGAGCCAGGGTCCTATCCAGGACCTATCTCCCCTGACCACTGGTGACACTGAGCCCCAGCCCTGACAAGGGCTGGGGTCACCACACAGAGACCCACAGACTCACCACACAGAGACCCACAGACTCATCACACAGAGACCCACAGACTCACACAGAGACCCACAGACTCACCACACAGAGACCCACAGACTCATCACACAGAGACCCACAGACTCACCACACAGAGACCCACAGACTCACCACACAGAGACCCACAGACTCACCACACAGAGACCCATAGACTCACCACACAGAGACCCATAGACTCACCACACAGAGACCCACAGACCACACAGAGACCCACAGACTCACGACACAGACCCACAGACTCACCACACAGAGACCCATAGACTCACCACACAGAGACCCACAGACTCACAACAGAGACCCACAGACTCACCACAGACTCACCACACAGAGACCCACAGACTCACCACACAGAGACCCACAGACTCGTCACACAGAGACCCACAGACTCACCACACAGAGACCCACACACTCACCACATAGAGACCCACAGACTCACCACACAGAGACCCACAGACTCACCACACAGCGACCCACAGACTTACCACACAGAGACCCACAGACTCACCACACAGAGACCCACAGACTTACCACAGACTCACCACACAGAGACCCATAGGCTCACCACACAGAGACCCACACACTCACCACACAGAGACCCACACACTCACCACACAGAGACCCACAGACTCACCACAGAGACCCACATACTCACCACACAGAGACCCACAGACTCACCACACAGAGACCCACAGACTCACCACTCAGAGACCCACAGACTCATCACACAGAAACCCACAGACTCACCACACAGAGACCCATAGACTCACCACACAGAGACCCAGACTCACCACTCAGAGACCCACAGACTCATCACACAGAAACCCACAGACTCACCACACAGAGACCCATAGACTCACCACACAGAGACCCAGACTCACCACACAGAGACCCACAGACTCACCACACAGAGACCCACAGACTCACCACACAGAGACCCATAGACTCACCACACAGAGACCCACAGACTCACCACGTGTCTCAGCGTTGGTTGTGTCCCGGTCTGTCCATGGCCTGGCCTCGTCTCTCCCTGCCTGGCTGCCTGCCCCGTGAGTGAGTGACGCTGCCTGCCCAGCTGTTTTGTTGTTTGCTGGGGGAGACATTGTGCTGCTGCTGGTGGTGCTGCTGGTGGTGCTGCTGCTGGTGATGGTAATAAAGGTGGCAAGTTCACTTACCTGGGCTGGAACTGCTCTGAGCAGGTGGGCGCGTCGTGATGATGCTGTTGTTGTTGTGCACGAGACTTGAACTAGAAACTAAACCGCGTTTTATTTTTAGCGGGCAAGGGCCTCATTGAGATGCTGTGTGTGTGTAAGCTCTCTTTTAGAAGGCCCTGACCTGGCCATTACCGATGATAGTTCTACCAATGAGGTTCATCATCATCATCACGTGAACCTTTATAGCAGTTGGCAAAGACTCTAGCAACTCACGGCTCTCAAATGTGGAGGGGAAAACCAGAGGGCCCGGAAAGAAAATCCACTCGACAACAGAAAGACAGAGAGACACAAACTCTATGCAGCAGCTGCAGCATCAACTGCCGGTCTCTGTGCGTGTCTGTGTCTCTGCGTGTGTCTGCGTGTGTCTGTGTCTGTAACGGTGTGTCTGTGTCTATGTCTCTGCGTGTCTTTGTGTCTCTGCGTGCATGTCTCTGTGTGTCTCTACGTGTCTCTGCGTGTGTGTCCATGTCTCTATGTGTGTGTGTCTCTGCATGTCTACGTGTGTGTCCATGTCGTCTCTGTGTGTGTCTGTGTCTCTGTGTGTGTGTCTGTGTGTGTGTCTATATCTGTGTGTGTGTGTCTCTGCATGTGTGTCTCTGTGTCTGTGTGTCTCTGCGTGTGTGTCTGTGTGTGTCTCTCTGTGTGTGTCTGTCTCTGTGTGTGTCTCTGTGTGTGTGTGTGTCTCTGCGTGTGTCTGTGTGTGTGTGTCTATGTGTGTGTCTGTGTCTCTGTGTGTGTCCATGTCTCTGTGTGTGTGTCTCTGTGTGTGTGTCTATGTCTCTGTGTGTGTGTCTCTGTGTCTCTGTGTGTGTGTCACTGTGTGTCTCTGTGTGTGTGTCACTGTGTGTGTGTGTCTGTGTCACTGCGTGTGTGTGTCTGTGTCTCTGCATGTGTGTGTCTGTGTGTCTCTGTGTGTGTGTGTGTCTCTGTGTGTGTGTCTATGTCTCTGTGTGTGTCTGTGTGTCTCTGTGTGTGTGTCTGTGTCTCTGCATGTGTGTCTATGTCTCTGTGTGTGTGTGTCTCTGTGTGTGTGTCTATGTCTCTGTGTGTGTCTGTGTGTCTCTGTGTGTGTGTCTGTGTCTCTGCATGTGTGTCTCTGTGTGTGTCTGTGCGTCTCTGCGTGTGTGTCTCTGTGTGTGTGTCTCTGTGCGTCTCTGCGTGTGTCTGTGTGTGTCTCTGTGTGTGTCTATGTGTGTCTCTGTGTGTGTCTGTGTCTCTGCATGTGTCTCTGTGTGTCTGTATGTGTGTCTGTGTCTCTGCATGTGTCTCTGTGTGTCTGTGTGTCTCTGCGTGTGTCTGTGTGTGTCTCTCTGTGTGTGTCTATGTCTCTGTGTGTGTGTCTCTGTGTGTCTGTGTGTGTCTCTGCGTGTGTGTCTGTATGTGTCTCTCTGTGTGTGTCTATGTCTCTGTGTGTGTGTCTCTGCGTGTCTGTGTGTGTCTCTGTGTGTGTGTCTCTGTGTGTATCAATGTCTCTGTGTGTCTCTGTGTGTCTCTGTGACAGTCGAGTACGGAGACTCGTGATGTGCACCGACTCTGTTCATGTGCGACACAACTTCACGCCACGTGGTCCCACTGGGAAAGAGGGCGGCACAAGTAAACACTAACACGAACCGGTAAACCATTGGCAATTGATCAAAGCTATAAAGGCGATGATCCAGGAAAATTATATTATGATGCTGCATGAAAAGGTAATAGGTTACTCTGAAGTTCCTGGCCATTGGAACGTTGGTAATGATCAGGAACATGCCCTGACAAAACAGGGAAGTCTGAAATATGCTGGGTGTAAATCAGCACATCAAATTAAATCCGCAGAGGAGGGAAAGAAAGGTCCCAAGCATGCGACACTCGGCCGAGAGAGTGGGGAGAGAGAGAGGAAGAGACTTTTCACGATTTTATTTCCACTAAAACATTAACAAAAAACCATTACAGGAAAACACACGTAAATTGTGAATCAACAAAACATCAAACTCTTAACAGCTGTGTGTGCACGAACTACACGTGGCACAGGGATAGAGGCTGTGCAAACGAGGCGGTGCACGGACCTCTCCGTGTGTAGCAAAGTCGCTACGCTGAAGAGTTTTTCAATTTGATAAAGAATCAAATGTTTTGACATCAGAATGCGACGTGAACAAAATACTTTTTTCTCCCCGACATTTTCAAAACAAAATGGCGTTGACGCGTCAAACACCTGAAATCATTTTGTCTTTATGGATTCAGTTGTCGGTCGTCATTAGAGTGTAATGACAGGGTGACACCTGGTGTGACGAGGACGTGTGCGGGGCCACGGGGTGACGAGTCAAATGAGGCACAACGTGAAGTCAGGGCTGGTCCCGCCCAACGAGGGAAACAGGAAAGGGGCGGACGGCTGAGTGGAGAGCGAGCGGCAGAGGTCGCAACCGGGTACCCGGTACCCGTACCCTACCCGATACCCGTACCCTACCCGATACCCGGCTACCCGTACCCTACCCGATACCCGTACCCTACCCGATACCCGTACCCTACCCGATACCCGGCTACCCGTACCCTACCCGATACCCGTACCCTACCCGATACCCGTACCCTACCCGATACCCGGCTACCCGTACCCTACCCGATACCCGTACCCTACCCGATACCCGGCTACCCGTACCCTACCCGATACCCGTACCCTACCCGATACCCGTACCCTACCCGATACCCGGTACCCGTACCCTACCCGAGATACCCGTACCCTACCCGATACCCGGCTACCCGTACCCTACCCGATACCCGTACCCTACCCGATACCCGTACCCTACCCGATACCCGGCTACCCGTACCCTACCCGATACCCGTACCCTACCCGATACCCGGCTACCCGTACCCTACCCGATACCCGGTTACCCGTACCCGATACCCGTACCCTACCCAATACCCGGCTACCCGTACCCGGCCGGGTACGGGTAAGCCGTGAGTCACTGGTGAGTCACCGTGTGTCACTCATTTGCCAACGTCTTGTCTCTTCTCACAATTCAAGTTCCTAGAATCAACCCACCCGCGCCTGCAACGTGGCTTCATCCCAGAGGTCGCAATCGGGTACCCGATACCTGTACCCTACCCGTACCCGGCCGGGTACGGGTAGCCGGGTATCGGGTAGGGAACGTGTACGGGTACCCGATTGCGAGCTCTGGCATGCGGCAACGTGACCATGTCGAGTGAGCGGCCGGGCAACTTGCAGTTTGACGGTGAACACGGCAGAACGGATGTGAGCTTCAAGCGGTAGGACACCGTCCGCGGTCTGACGAACGCCGCCACGACGGCCACGCGGCACTACGGGTGCGTGCCGCTTGTCGGCAG